GGAAGGATGAGTCCCAATGAAGGCTAATCTTTTCTTCCAGGCATAAAAAATCGCTAGCGGCGCGCGAAGCGCGCCCCCAAAGCCGTTAGGCTTTCCAACGGGCACAGCAAAATTAAACTGCCAGAGTATCTTAAAACCCTTTCAGCTATCCGCCGCCATCAGTGGTAAACCCATCGCTAGTTTATATATATATATAAAAGTATTGGTAAAATTTAATCAAAAATTTAGAACTCTTTACAGAGTTGAGATAATGGGCTGAAAGTTTTACATGTCCGGGGTCAAATCGTATTGGGCATTTGGGAAAAATAAGGACGGAAAATTTTAGGAACCCCTTGGTACCTAAATAATAGAGGTACCGGGGATATCTCGGGACTGGGTACAGATACGCGTGTCGGACTAACGGGAGGGCACTTAAGCATCAATAGACAATGTCGATTGCAAAAAACCCGAAGTCGAAATTCAAATTTCAAGGGTACTTATTGGTGGGCAAAAATTCAGACATTTTCGGTGAATTGAAGGGTGTGTCGGTATTTAAAATTCGAGTTTTTCGAAAATAACTCGAAAACGGATAAAGATATCGGAAAATTTCTGCTGGGAGGCGATTGAAGCAGAACGAGGAGATATGGGTAGGAAAAATTTCAAAATCGAAATTCGAACTTTAGGGGTACTTATTGGGGGGCAAAAATTTCTGTAAGAAATCTGTCTTACCGATAACTGTCGGATTTCTCTAAATTGAAGAAATCCTAAGGGCAAATCTCATAGGTGAGAGAGAAATTTTGATGGATAGGAGAAATTTCGAGTGAAAATAGTGGGATTTCGAAACTTAAGCAAGTTTCGAGTTGAGGGAGGGTTTATTGATAGTGCAATAAGGGGGAATTCGAAATTAGGGATCCGGGATTTCGGGATTTTTAGGGATTTTCGAATATGGTCGAATGAGTAGTCATTCGAAAGCGGATAATGAGGGGAGTTGAATGGGATATATGGTAAAGCCGAAAGTCGAGTTTCGGAGTTCGAAATTCGAAATCCGGTATTTTCGGGATTTGTGGATATGGGTGAGTGGGTAGTCATTCAAGAGGGAATGATCAGGGGAGTCTAATGGGATAAGGGATAAGTATGAAAGTCGAAGTTCGGAGTTCGAACTTCGAAATCCGGTATTTTCGGGGGTTGGGGATATGGGCAAGAGGGTAGTCATTCAAGAGGGGATGATCAGGGGAGTCTAATGGGATAAAGGATTAAGTCGAAATTCAAAGTTTGGAGTTCGAACTTCGAAATCCGGTATTTTCGGGAATGGGAAGCATGGTCGAATGAGTATTCATTCAAGAGGGGATAATGAGGGGAGTCTAATGGGATAAGGGATAATGTCGAAATTCGAAGTTCGGTGTTCGAACTTCGAAATCCGGGATTTTCGGGGTTTGGGGATATTCGCAAGTGGGTAGTCATTCAAGAGGGGATTATCAGGGGAGTCTAATGGGATAAAAGATAAAGTCTAAATTCGAAGTTTCGCGTTCGAACTTCGAAATCCGGGATTTACGAGGTTGGGGGATATGGGTGAGTGGGTAGTCATTCAAGAGCTGGGACTGAGGGGAGTCTAATGGGATAAGGGATTAAGCCTAAAGTCGAAGTTCGGAGTTCGAACTTCGAAATCCGGTATTTTCGGGATTGGGAAGTGGGGTCGAATGAGTACTCATTCAAGAGGGGATAATGAGGGGAGCTTAGTGGGATAAAGGATCAGGCTGAAAGTCGAAGTTCGGAGTTCGAACTTCGAAATCCGGGATTTTCGGGATTGGGAAGTACGGTCGAATGAGTAATCATTCAAGAGCAAATAATGAGGGGAGCTTAGTAGGATATAGGATAATGTCGAAAGTCGAAGTTCGGAGTTCGAACTACGAAATCCGGGATTTTCGGGATTTGAGATTAAAGTGGATATCGGTGAATGAGTAGTCATTCAAGAGGGGATAATGAGGGGCTCCGAAAAAGGTATAATATGTCGGGGGTCTGTTTGAGTCTGAAAAAGTTATGGCCAATGTTCGCAAATGTCGCGAAAATTTTTTGGACTATAACTTTTTTAAAAAATTTTTTAGAATTTTTCTGACACCTGATATGGATTTAGCGCATATCAATGCACCATATAGGATATTTTTTGCTCAAAATTCGAAAATTTTTGACCCCTCGAATTTTTCAAAAGGGGTACCCCTTTCGGGGGATATTCGGGATTTTTCAATTTTGAATAACTTTTTGTGGGATTATCGGAATGTGATGGGGTTTGCTTTATAAAATAGAGTAAAAAATTAGAAATTTTTTGAGCCCAAAAAATTTCGAAAAAATTCGAAACTGGGTGTGTAAGGGTCGGATTTCGAAAAACCCAAAATTTTTTGGTTTTTCGAAATTTTTCCGGGATTTTTGCCGGCGGTTTGGGCCGACAGTATTTTTCCTGGATAGAGCAGAATTTTCTGCATCTTATAGAATTTTAAAATTTATAAAAAAGGTTTACTTTGGGCCAGATATGATTTTTTAAAAATTTCAGTGATTTTTTTCAGCTGAAATTTCCGGCCAAAAAAATTTTTTTTCAAAGTGGGTATAAATAGGGTAAATGAGATATCTATCGAAAGCTCTCATCGAGCTGGGTATAAAAATATTTTTCTCGAAATTTTTCGGTACATTTTGACGAATGTACAGAGGTTCGAAAATTTGTTGGGTTGAGTACCGTACCCGGAGAATGATGGGAGGAAGAGAGGAAAAATGATTGACAGGTGAAGTTGATGGCAGAGAGGCGAAATTTTTCTCCGTCTCTGACCATGCGGGGCAAACCGTAGAAGAACTTAGGGGTGAATTTTGTATATTAGGGAAAATTTTGTGCAGGGATAACTGGATCCTGTTATGGTTCCGAAGCAGAAATGCTTCGTGAAGCAGTTTCTTCGTGAAGTTTCTGCTTCGAAATTTTGTTCTTCTTGAAAGGATGAGTCCAATCGAGGGGGAACGAGGGCAGAAGGCCCGAAGTTACTCTACTTGAAAGGATGAGCCCAATCGAGGCGAAGACGAGGGCCGAAGGCCCGAAGTGACTCTAAAAGGAAGGAAGAGTCCAATCGAGGGCAAAACGAGGGCCGAAGGCCCGAAGTGACTCTAAGTGGAAGGAAGAGTCACAACCGCTGGGAAGACGAGGGCCGAAGGCCCGAAGTGTTTCTAATTGAAAGGACGAGTCCCAATGGGAGGGGAAGACGAGGGAAGTGACTCTAAGTGACTCTAAGTGGAAATATGAGTCCCAACTGGGGATCTAAAAGGGAGGGCGAGGGCCGAAGGCCCGAGCTGACACCCATCTAAAAGGGAGGGCGAGGGCCGAAGGCCCGAGCTGACACCCATCTAAAAGGGAGGGCGAGGGCCGAAGGCCCGAGCTGACACCCATCTAAAAGTGAGGGCAAGGGCCGAAGGCCCGAGCTGACACCCATCTAAAAGTGAGGGCAAGGGCCGAAGGCCCGAGCTGTCACCCATCTAAAAGTGAGGCCAAGGGCCGAAGGCCCGAGCTGACACCCATCTAAAAGGGAGAGCGAGGGCCGAAGGCCCGAGCTGACACCCATCTACAAGTGAGGGCAAGGGCCGAAGGCCCGAGCTGTCACCCATCTAAAAGTGAGGCCAAGGGCCGAAGGCCCGAGCTGACACACATCTAAAAGGAATGGCGAGGGCCGAAAGCCCAAGCTGACACCCATCTAAAAGGGAGTGCGAGGGCCGAAGGCCCGAGCTGACACCCATCTAAAAGGGAGGGCGAGGGCCGAAGGCCCGAGCTGACACCCATCTAAAAGGAAGGGCGAGGGCCGAAGGCCCGAGCTGACACCCATCAAAAAGGCAGTGCGAGGGCCGAAGGCCCGAGCTGACACCCATCTAAAAGAGAGGGCAAGGCCATGAGGGGAAGACGAGGGCCGAAGGCCCGAAGTGCTCTACGTGGAAGGATGAGTCCAATCGAGGGAAAATGAGGGGAAGACGAGGGCCAAAGGCCCGAAGTGCTCTACGTGGAAGGATGAGTCCAATCGAGGGAAAATGAGGGGAAGACATGGCCGAAGGCCCGAAGTGACTCTAAGTGGAAGGATGAGTCCCAATGAAGGCTAATCTTTTGTTCCAGGCATAAAAAATCGCTAGCGGCGCGCGAAGCGCGCCCCCAAAGCCGTTAGGCTTTCCAACGGGCAGAGAAAAATTTAACCGCCTCCCAAAATTTTACCGCCATTCAGCTATCCGCCGCCATCAGTGGCCAAACCCATCGCTAGTTTATATATTCCTATAAAAGTATTGGTTTTTTCTGGGGTGGACGCCAATCATTTTGCCGGGAAAGTGGTTTAAAAACTCAGATCTGATTAAGGTTTGCTAATGAATTTTTTTGAGTTGTACATTAGTCCTACAACTTTTTATGGCGCATCTAGGAAAATTATGTCGAAGTTTCAGAGGAACCCCCCTGGTACCTAAATTTTATAGGTACCGGGGCTATCTTTTTTATGAGTGGAGTTATCGAAAAAGTTCCGCTGGGAGGGCACTGAAGCATTTAATGGAGATGTCAAATGCAAAAAATTCGAAGTCGAAATTCCAATTTGAAGGGACTTATTGGTGCGCAAAAATCCGGATTTCGGTGAAAATCCCCCCCTGTCGGTAAAGTCGAAATTTTCGAAACTCATCGACAATTCACGTGTAATAGCTCAAATGAAAGCTCTCAGTGAGCTGAGTTCGGGGAATTTTAGTTCAAATTTTTCGGACCACTTTGGACCGAGTTACAGTAATTTAAAGGTTCAAAATTCGGGCATGTAAAATTGGGAAGGGTGGCTCCAATCGCGAAAAGTGAATTGAAACTTGATTTCGATATCCTATGTTATAGAGCGTCCCCTGACGGTCCGAAAAAGGTATAATATGTTGGGGGTCCATTTGAGTCTGAAAAAGTTATGGCCAATGTTCGCAAATGTCGCGAAACTTTTTTTGGCTATAACTTTGTTGCGAAATTTTTTAAAATTTTTCTGAGACCGGAAATGGATTCAGCGCATGCCAGAGTACCATATAGGATATTTTTTGGGTCAAAGTTCGAAAATTTTGTCCCAACCCCGTTCAAAATGGCCCGATGTAAAATAGGGAAGGATGGCTCCAATTGTCAAAATTTGTCGTTTCAGGTTTTTTTGATATCCTATGTTATAGAGCGTCCCCTGGCGGTCCCAAAAAGGTATAATATGTCGGGGGTCCGGTTGAGTCTCAAAAAGTTATGGCCAATGTTCGCAAATGTCGCGAAACTTTTTTGGGCTATAACTTTTTTGCAAATTTTTTAAAAATTTTTCTGACACCTGATTTGGATTCAGCGGGTGTAAGAGTACCATATAGGATATTTTTGGGTCAAAATTTGAAAATTTTTGACCCCTCGAATTTTTCAAAAGGGGTACCCCTTTTGTGGGATATGAGGGATTTTTAAATTTGGAATAACTTTTTATTGGATTTCCGGAATGGAATGGGGTTTGATTTATAAAATAGAGTAAAAAATTAGAAATTTTTTGAGCCCAAAAAATTTCGAAAAAATTCGAAATTGGAGGTGTAGGGGTCTAATTTCGAAAAACCCAAAATTTTTCGGTTTTTCGAAATTTTTTCGGGATTTTTGCCGGCGGTTCGGACCGAAGTAATTTTTCCTGGATAAAGCAGATTTTTCTGCACCTGAAAAGATTTTAAAATCTTTAAAAAAGGAATACTTTAGGTGAGATATGATTTTTTGAAAATTTTAGTGAATTTTTCAGGCAGAAATTTTCGGCCAAAAAATTTTAATTTTAAAAATCAAAAAAGATATGGCAAATGAGATATCATTCGAAAGCTCTTATTGAGCTGGGTATAAAAATATTTTTTTCAAAATTTTTCGGTACATTTTGACGAATGTACAGAGCTTCGAAAATTTGTGGGGCTGAGTACAGTACCCGGAGAATGATGGGAGGGAGAGAGGAAAAATGATTGACAGGTCAAATGTAAGGAAGAGAGGAGAAATTTTTCTCCGTCTCTGACTATGGGGGGCAAACCGTAGAAGAACTTAGGGGTGAATTTTGTATATTGGGGGAAATTTAATGGGGGGATAAGCTGGATCCTGTTATGGATCCGAAGCAGAGATGCTTTGTGAAGCAGTTTCTGCTTCGAAATTTTGTTTTTCTTGAAAGGATGAGTCCAATCGAGGAGAAGCCGAGGGCCGAAGGCCCGAAGTGACTCTAATTGAAAGGGTGAATCCAATCGAGAGGAAGACGAGGGCCGAAGGCCCGACGTGACTCTAAGTGGAAGGATGAGTCCGAATAAAGGAAAGACGGGTCTATGTGGAAGGATGAGTCCAAAGTGACTCTAAGTGAAAGGATGAGTCCGAATAAAAGAAAGACAAGGGTCTATGTGGAAGGATGAGTCCGAAGTGACTCTAAGTGAAAGGATGAGTCCGAATAAAAGAAAGACAAGGGTCTATATGGAAGGATGAGTCCGAAGTGACTCTAAGTGAAAGGATGAGTCCGAAGTGATTCTAAGTGAAAGGATGAGTCCGAATAAAAGAAAGACAAGGGTCTATGTGGAAGGATGAGTCCGAAGTAATGGGATAAGTAAGGGATTAATGGGATAAGTAAGGATAAGTAAGGGATTAATGGGATAAGTAAGGATCTAATGGGATAAGGGATTAAGCCTAAAGTCGAAGTTCGGAGTTCGAACTTCGAAATCCGGTATTTTCGGGATTGGGAAGTGGGGTCGAATGAGTACTCATTCAAGAGGGGATAATGAGGGGAGCTTAGTGGGATAAAGGTTCAAGCCGAAAGTCGAAGTTCGGAGTTCGAACTTCGAAATCAGGGATTTTCGGGATTGTGAAGTACGGTCGAATGAGTAATCATTCAAGAGCAAATAATGAGGGGAGCTTAGTGGGATATAGGATAATGTCGAAAGTCGAAGTTCGGAGTTCGAACTTCGAAATCCGGGATTTTCGGGGTTTGGGGATATTCGCAAGTAGGTAGTCATTCAAGAGGGGATTATCAGGGGAGTCTAATGGGATAAAAGATAAAGTCTAAATTCGAAGTTTCGCGTTCGAACTTCGAAATCCGGGATTTACGAGGTTGGGGGATATGGGTGAGTGGGTAGTTATTCAAGAGCTGGGACTGAGGGGAGTCTAATGGGATAAGGGATTAAGCCTAAAGTCGAAGTTCGGAGTTCGAACTTCGAAATCCGGTATTTTCGGGATTGGGAAGCATGGTCGAATGAGTACTCATTCAAGAGGGGATAATGAGGGGAGCTTAGTGGGATAAAGGTTCAAGCCGAAAGTCGAAGTTCGGAGTTCGAACTTCGAAATCAGGGATTTTCGGGATTGTGAAGTACGGTCGAATGAGTAATCATTCAAGAGCAAATAATGAGGGGAGCTTAGTGGCTCCGAAAAAGGTATAATATGTCGGGGGTCTGTTTGAGTCTGAAAAAGTTATGGCCAATGTTCGCAAATGTCGCGAAACTTTTTTGGACTATAACTTTTTTGAAAAATTTTTTAGAATTTTTCTGACACCGGATATGGATTCAGCGCATATCATTGCACCATATAGGATATTTTTGGGTCAAAATTTGAATATTTTTGGGTCAAAATTTGAAAATTTTTGACCCTTCGAATTTTTCAAAAGGGGTACCCCTTTTGGGGGATTTGAGGGATTTTTTAGGGGATCATAACTTTTTGTGGGATTATCGGAATGTTATGAGGTTTGATTTATAAAATAGAGTCAAAAATTAGGTATTTTTTGAGCCCAAAAAATTTCGAAAAAAGTCGAAACTGGGGGTGTAAGGGTCGAATTTCGAAAAACCCCAAATTTTTCGGTTTTTCGAAATTTTTCTGGATTTTTGCCGGCAGTTTGGGCCGAAGTTATTTTTCCTGGATAAAGCAGATTTTTCTGCATATTATGGGATTTTAACATTTTCAAAAAAGCATACTTTGGGCGAGATATGATTTTTTGAAAATTTCAGTGATTTTTTTCGGCTGAAATTCTCGACCGAAAAATTATAATTTTAAAAATCAAGATAGATATGCCGAATGGGATATCATTCGAAAGCTCTCATCGAGCTGGATATAAAAATATTTTTTTCGAAAATTTTCGGTACATTTCGAAAAAAGTACAGAGGTTCAAAAATTTGTGGGCTGAGTACCGTACCCGGAAAATTATGGTAGGGAGAGAGGAAAAATGATTGACAAGTGAAGTTGATGGAAGAGAGGCGAAATTTTTCTCCGTCTCTGACCATGCGGGGCAACCCAGAGAAGAGTTTAAGAGTGAATTTTGTATATTGGGGAAAATTTTTATGGAGGGTAAGCTGGATCCTGTTATGGATCCGAAGCAGATTTGCTTGTGAAGCATTTTTGCTTCGAAATTTTGTTCTCCTTGAAAGGATGAGTCCAATCGAGGGGATGACGAGGGCAAAAGGCCGAAGTGACTCTAATTGAAAGGGTGAGTCCAATCGAAGGAAAGACAAGGGCCGAAGGCCCGAAGCGACTAAGTGGAAGGATGAGTCCGAATAAAGGAAAGACGGGTCTAAGTGGAAGGATGAGTCCGAAGTGACTCTAAGTGAAAGGATGAGTCTACATAAAGGAAAGACAAGGGTCTAAATGGAAGGATGAGTCCGAAGTGACTCTAAGTGAAAGGATGAGTCTGAATAACGGAAAGACAAGGGTCTAAGTGGAAGGATGAGTCCGAATAAAGAAAAGACAAGGGTCTATGTGGAAGGATGAGTCCGAAGTGACTCTAAGTGAAAGGATGAGTCTGAATAACGGAAAGACAAGGGTCTAAGTGGAAGGATGAGTCCGAATAAAGAAAAGACAAGGGTCTATGTGGAAGGATGAGTCCGAAGTGACTCTAAGTGAAAGGATGAGTCCGAATAAAGGAAAGACAAGGGTCTATGTGGAAGGATGAGTCCGAAGTGACTCTAAGTGAAAGGATGAGCCCGAAGTGGCTCTGAGTGGAAGGATGAGTCCCAACAGAAGAAAGATGAGTGCCGAAAGCCCGAAGTGGCTCTAAGTGGAAGGATAAGTCCTAACGTGGGAAAGACGAGGGTCGAACACCCATCTAAAAGGGAGTGCGAGGGCCGAAGGCCCGAGCTCTAAAAGAGAGGCGAGGGCCGAAGGCCCGAGCTGACACCCATCTAAAAGGGAGTGCGTGGGCCGAAGGCCCGAGCTGACACCCATCTAAAAGGAAGGGCGAGGGACGAAGGCCCGAGCTGACACCCATCTAATAGGGAGGCGAGGGCCGAAGGCCCGAGCTGACACACATCTAAAAAGAAGGGCGAGGGCCGAAGGCCCGTGCTGACACACATCTAAAAGGAAGGGCGAGGGCCGAAGGCTCGAGCTGACACCCATCTAAAAGGAAGGGCGAGGGCCGAAGGCCCGAGCTGACACCCATCTAAAAGGAAGGGCGAGGGCCGAAGGCCCGAGCTGACACACATCTAAAAGGAAGGGCGAGGGCCGAAGGCCCGAGCTGACACCCATCTAAAAGGGAGGGCGAGGGCCGAAGGCCCGAGCTGATACACATCTAAAAGGAAGGGCGAGGGCCGAAGGCCCGAGCTGACACCCATCTAAAAGGAATGGCGAGGGCCGAAGGCCCGAGCTGACACCCAACTAAAAGGAATGGCGAGGGCCGAAGGCCCGAGCTGACACCCATCTAAAAGGAAGGGCGAGGGCCGAAAAAAACCCATCGCTAGTTGGTAAACCCATCGCTAGTTAATACATTATATAAAAGTTTTGGCAGAAAGTGTCGGAAAAATTAAAGCTCTTTACAGAGTTGAGATAATGGGCTGAAAGTTTTACATGTCCGGGGTCAAATTTTATGCCGCATCTGGGAAAAATACGGACGGAAGATTTTGGTACCCCCATGGTACCTAAATAATATAGGTGCCGGGGCTATCTCGGGAATGAGTGGACTTAGAGGAAAATTTCTGCTTGGAGGGCACTGAAGCATCAAAAGACAATGTCGAATGCAAAAAACTCGAGATCGAAATTCGAATTTGAAGGGTACTTATGCTTGACACAAAATTCAGACATTTCCTGTGAATTGTCGGGTGTGTCGGGATTTAAAATAAGAGTTTTTCGAAAATAACTCGAAAACGGATAAAGATACTGAAAAACTTCTGCTGGTAGGATTTTAAGTTGGGATATGTAGATATAGGTAGGAAAAATTTCAAATTTGAAATTCGAACTTTAGGGGTACTTATGCTTGACACAAAATTCTGGTAAGAAAACTGTCTTACCGATAATTGTCGGATTTCTCTAAAGTGAGGAAATCCTGGGGGCAAATCTCATAGGTGAGAGAGAAATTTTGATTGATAGAGGAGAAATTGGAAGCA